TGAATAGATATCATGGAAAGCACGAATCGTTGGCACTGAGTACTAGGAGAACATATCTTGGCAGTAGTTGTCTTACAACTTCCTTCATTGCCTTCTCGGCAATACGCACTGACCACGTTAGGCAAGGACGCCCGCACAATGCAGTGTTAGCCAACAGCGGATATAAAGGGGCAAGCCCTCGCTTGCATAACATCACGCATGACTAATCTCGCGTTGGTATGCGTAGGAGATAGATATTGAGGTCGTTTGAGGTCGCCATGTGGGCATCGTTAACGGCCAGCATGTTTTACATGATACGAACGCCAAATAAAGATATATTTCGTATATAATTCGTTCGACCGAAGAGAGTACTAGATAGTGTTATCATAGTGTATAGGGATATATGTATAATGAATGAAATGAAATCTCCATTCATCATTTGTGACTTCGTCATTCAAGTCGTTCACCCAGTCGGAGGCCGCCCGTTGGTGGAATTGAAAGGCCCATTCAGGGCCACGTTTTGACGCTTGAGTGTCTGTATTAGTCGCAGGAAATTTAATATACGCCAACACAAATAGTATGAAGACATAAATGCAAATTATTAAATGCAATTATGCAATTGAATATGTTTCAGTCACTAATAGATTTAGTCTTTTAGTTGGAAAATGTAACTCTTTTGTTTTCCTAGTGTCATATGTGTGACATGTTGATACATTGTCACACACACATGACACTAGGAATTCATGAACACCAACAACACTACATAAATATTATGTTCGAAGCAAATAGATCCATTAAATACGTTTATTTACTAAAAATATTACATAAGAAACTTACATATTTGTTCTATAATACACGCCCATTCGTTCAATAGTTTCATTGTGCAGAATTTTAGAACGAGATGCAAAACAAACTTTACGTGAGTTTGCAACTATCCGTCTCGCTCCTGTGTGCCCATCTTCATTGTGGGCAACAATAGATCGAGAGCTTCCGGTGCACCGCGTGACGATTCGCAATTTAGCTACGACATGCAGTAAAATGTATCAAGCACTCACATAAATATATAATATAAATATCGTAGAACAAATCTAAAAAAATTAAAAGCTACCTTTTATAATTAATCCGCCGTCTTATAGCTGCGGTCATTTTAAAATGTCATTTATTTTAACGTTACCTGATCTTGAATCTCTTTCATTTTATGCCCATATTAATAGGGTTAATAAAATATACACATACCATCTGCCTTATTTTGATCGCGGCCATTTTGAAAATATTACAATACTCAATATTGTATCGTCACCAGGACTAAAGATGTATACGAAATTTTATTTCAATCGGATGTCAAGAAGTGGTTCTGATTCGGTTTGCAAAATTTAACCTAAACAAACCGTTATAATTGCAAGTTAAATCAAAGCTTAAAGTATCGCAAATATTCACCTTTATATATCCGTTTACCAAAATATTTAAATCAACCATTCCATCTAATTGAATAAACAACACAATAATTTTCATCCGTCTCCGGACATCTTGAATATAAAATCACTACACTTATACATATTATAATGAGCTGATATTCTAACTGTAATATTAAAATAGATGCTTTCTGATTTCCTCGAAATATAACTAAGAGATATACGAATTCAGAAATCAATCTTCAAGTATTGAATTATTGCATTTAATTCTACAAAGTTTGGAAGCTACAACGCCACAGACAAAATCTTCTTCGGAATTAAAGATGACTAAAGATTATAATATTAATATAGTTGGAATGCAGTTGTACTATGCACTGTGATATGCATAATGGATTATAAACGCCACAGTACTGACTCATCCTATGACAGACTCATTGGATACAACAGACAGTAATGTTGAATATGATTAAGTTTGGTTAACGTTGTTATCGTCCCCTACTGTTTGCTCAAATGGACCACTTGGATTATTCTAAGAAACACTGATTCGATTATTGTCTGGACTGAAACAAGGGCGTTTGATCAGTTAATATATAGCTGGGGACAGGAATATTATTCGCTTGTCACTCAAAAGACACGCCTGTAAATAAAGAATTAAGTTTCATGTTTAATAAATATAAAATTGGATATAAGGATATTTTTGTACTGTTAATAAATTTCCATTTTTTTTAATATATTATTATTAGTGTTATAATGTAGTGAAGCTTAATGTCTGGTTTGCTTGTTTATGTTGTTATGGTAAAGCATTTCCCAATATGTTTGTTTGATATCAGATTTTTCATCAAAAATAAGATCTATGAGAATTTTTTCATAAAACTAAACAGAAAGAAATAGAAACTAGATGCAGACAATATTAGAAGAGAATAAAAAAAAATCAATTGTTATTTAAATATACCAGTACTTTAATAACAAATTCATTTACGCTGTCACTTTTTGTTTTCACACCTATGTTTGGAATGTTGTTATTTGACGAGAAGAACCAGTAAGAAACTCGATAGTCGCTCTTTTAAGATCAATCTATTTATTTGCTTATCGAAAGTAAGTGACCAGTTATATAAAACATGCAAGTAGAGAGTTTCCATGGAGTTTTTCTTATTACTTATCTAACTGGACACCTTTCAAAGTACTAGTAGAGTTGCTTTGTGTCATACTAAAATAATGCCTATTTAATATTGAGTTTATAACAAAACAGTTGTTAATTTAAGATAGTACTTCTATGTTGTTTAGATAAAAAAGATGTCTGGCTAAGAATGACTTGTCAAAGTGAATTTCTATCACAAGCACATTAAATGCAAACGCATCTTGTAATAAAATTTTTTATTATAAATAAAAATATCAAGTACTTATATTCTTACAAGATTCTATATCCATCACCGACATTTTTACAATTAGTTAATTTAAAATTTTCGTGTTACTTACATAGAGGGAGACTGTACAAAAGTCGTTTGCTTGAGCACCTCTGTCCCATTCGTGTTTCTACCGTGAAACACTTGTTATTGCATGGCTATGTTTCGGTTTGAAGGGTGAGATACGACAGTGAATTTATAGGGTACAGAGGAATAACACCAGAGTCCTCAGGAATGGCATTGCATGGGGGTATCATGGACAAAACAGTATACTCTGTTATGACCATGGTACTGATCATGTCGTCAGCTTATTTGCCAATCGCACAGTACAGCACGGGGACTTAACGCGATGTAATAAATAAGCAGGTATGTAGGTACTATTTGCCTGTAAAGACTTTTTCATTGTTTTAAGTCCCAATTGTATATTTCAAATATTCTTTACAATCATTAATCATATTGTGTTTTTTACCATATTATTGTATTTTATTTTAGTCCTTATCATGATGGCAGTTAGTGATATATTATTGTTTATTTCTGAGGAGGGGGGTCTGGTGATCTAAGACACACAGAGCTCGCTGCCCAATTTAGACGCCAGTCTCCCACAACTGTTCCGTTTTATGTTATTGTTGCCAATTGAATTGTAATATGGTTGTGTAAAAAAATAAAAATTATTATTATTATTTCAAATTAAATCTGCAAATTATTAATATATTCCATATTAAATTTAGGCTATTGTTTATTAAACGTGATAAGTTACAATAAACATCTCCCCTTATTGAAGTCATGGTAACGTTGGCTCGATATCTACGCTCGTCTAAATACGTTTTCTGGTGTTCACGACATTTCACTGGCAAACATAAAAGCTTGTAATAATGACTATTTTTAAACTTAATTCTTTTAATTTTTTATGTCTTAAAAGATGGTGGTGTTAATTCTGAACGCATCATTCTCTACCTCTAAATTTAAAATTTGACATTAAAACATGATTATTCTACAAAATTTTTACTAGAATTGTGTAAAAACTGATTGAATTAATGAAAACTATTGTTCCCTTGCACACAAACAAAATAATTAATAGAACTGAGTTACATTTAATTTTCTAAACTTGATGCCATACTGAAATAACATAATGAAATAATGTAAATAAAATTAATATTAAGGATGCAATATTTATAATGCCTATGTGTGGCGAAATATGTACATATGCATTTAGTAACACCACGTATCTCATGTTCCACCAAATTGTAGATTTAGGAAATTTCAGCGAATGATAACTAAGAATCGACGCAACTGTTCAAAATAGTGATTACCGCGCTACCGCTTTGCTAAAGCGATTCAAGCTAATATTAAATGAGGATTAAAGAAATTTATATAGTTATTCTGAAATGTCGACTCATCCAAAGAACAATGGTTGCTGTAAGTGAACATCCTTACAAGTAGATGAATGGAACGAGCGGTGGCATTGGCGCAGCGCTGGAGACGCGGGACGCAATTTGCAATTTATTAATTCTCAAGGCAAAGGATGTTTGCTTTGTACACCGTTAGTGATATCGTTTTCTCTTCTACAGTAACATTGATATTCTACGTGTATAAATGAAAAAGAAGAAACATCTTTTTTTAAATATAAAAGTCAGTCACTAATTTATATAATATTGTAAATAAATATACAATATATTGTAAAAAAATATGCAGAAACAGACGTTCTGAGGTAGGGTACGATAAATGCAAACGCTCTGAAAACAAATTTTAATAGCAATAGCATCGGTCAATAAGAATTGGATTATTATTATTATTTATTTTGATTTTTTTTTTTACTCAATGTATTATTATGGCTTTATTGCTATTATATAAAAATACTACGATACAATTCAAATGAATTAAGTAATTTAGATATGGTAGTTGTAGCTTTAATTAACTATATAGTATTTAGTTTTAATGAAATATAACATTTTAGGAGTGTTTCTTTTTTCTAACTTAATTTTTTTTTTTACAATAACCTATACAAATGCCTTAGTCCAAATTATTTAATAAAATTTTATAACGACATATATCATATATATATAGTTCTGTTGATAATTTGTTGAAATTTTATAAAAATGTAAAGCGAATAGTTAAGGGTATATAATAAAACAAAATCGAAGAGACTCTAATTATAATACATGGTCATTTCTAAAGGGTAAGAATGAAATATTATTAAGTTACAAACCTGGGCGTAATCTGGGCTCGGCGGTCTAGCCGGATACTTGGAGGCCATGCGCGCACCTGCCCCACAGCCCTGGGTAGCAGGCACCTCATCCTCCGGGTAATAAAGATGCACGAAATCCTCCGTGTCCAAGAATGTGTTGATCAGCATACTCCACAATATACAAAACTAACTAATACATAACTTAACGCAGTCTAACAGATCAGACTTTAGGGCCACTAACACTAGTTTAACATTACATCACTGTTGTAGGAAGCACACCATCGACACACCATCGATTTGTAACGTTCCATCGTTTGTCTTCACCTATTGTAATAATTCCATCACACAGCTACCTACTAGAAACGAAAATGACTTTGTTATGACCATTGCTACATGACATATGTAAAAGATACGATGTCAAGCTATTTGTCAACTGAAAGCTTCAAATACCATATTTGACAAAAGTTTCATCTACGTCAAATTTAAAAACAAATGACAATTTAAAAACATAATCAACTTATTTAAAAAGAAATCTATTTCGAGTATTAAAATATATAGGTATATTCTTTAAAATTGATAAATTAAATTGCGTCTAAAAAGAAAATATAAAAAACTTTAATAGTCAATACTTAGAAGTTTGTATAAATAAGAGGATCATTATTTTCCAATAATCAATATAAAAAAAAAAAACAAGAAAACAATCTTGCAAAGAGAAATATTATTTCTGTAGTAAAGAAAATTCTTTTATCATTCATGCCGTTGAGAAGTTACGGTAAAATAATGAATTGTGTGTAAAGTAAATTGAGCGCTTGTTATTCATGGCTTTTACAATGTCATGGCATTTTTGGTATTTTCACAAGTTGATAGTTTTGACGTCATTCATGACAATATGTTTCTGCTTGTACAAGTGCTCCGATTGTTCAAGCCCATTGTAAACCGAGAGTGTTTTGTTACAAAGAGTATCTACATCTTAAGTACTTGCATTGTAGTTTCTTAACAAATAAGAACAAATTGTGTAACTTGTTTATAGACCGTTTTCTTGTTATCGTTTTATAAAACAAAGTAAATGTGGACACAAAATTCTATAACTGGACACAGCAATTCTATGATAATTGATATTATATTGATAACCTGAATTGTGTTAAGTAAACAAGATTATATGAATAGGTTATAGAGTAAACAAGATTACCTACATTAATAAACAAGATTATATTTGTTATGTAATACAATGTAAACAACAATCACCTAACCTAAATTTCTCTTTGTTACGTGCAGTGATTGTAATAACCAATCGTTGTCGTGCAATTCTTTCACCACCATGATGAGCTCCAGCACTGGTGACAGGGGGGAAAGGGATTGTTAGTAATGGAGACTGAGATTCCCATTGCTAGCAATATACCCAACCAGGTCGACCTCCTCGGTTCTCCCCGGAAACTATCATGGTTAATTCCTGATGAATTCATCATGATGGGCTAATTGGCCTGTTTTAATTCTCATCTATCACCCTTCACTGGTGCTCCGCAAGCGTATACCGTTAGCGCAGGCGGGGTTACCATACCATTTTCACCCATAAAAAAAACACTGGTGACATTATAAATTTGATAACAAGAGTGATTTTCGTCAAGTGCGATATTTTGTTTAACTTATTGAGTTTCGAGTTTACAGTAAAGTAGAACTGAAACTCTTCGGCGATGAAAAACACCGTTAACTAAAAATTGCGAGGGGTAGCGGTTGATTTGTTTTTTACTACGTTGAATCCAAATTATTACGCTTAGCAGAATGTATGCATGTCGCATGATCATTACAATAGCAACACATCCTATCAAAGACTATAGCAGAGAACATATATTTTAATTACTAACAATTACATATACTAATTTAGATAACAAAAATAATATTAAGTATGTTGCTAATATTAAATAAGAATGATTCATAATCACAATATAAATAGAGTATTATTAGCTGCACATATGAATGTGCATAGGTTTAATGACCTCGATTAATTTTAACCATAATGCAGTTTATTTAAAGAGCTCTTCTTGTCTGCTCAATTAGTAAATGATACTGTACTTTCCCATGTCTAATATAAGATTAATGATTGTTAAATACACCAGACTTGACCAGACCCCCAAAGCAGGGGAGAAAGTATGTCTTACTTTCAACTTGATACTGCAAGAGGTAATGTTGTGTAAACATCCATTATTAATTATTTCTTTTGATTTTTTGCAAAAGTATCGAACCGAATAAGAACTCTTTAAATATAAAGATAATACGTGGTGTTCAATATTCATTTTATTGAGTGTTAAACCTATATTTATATACTAATTCGAATTATGCATGAATATTAAAAAAGCTGATGAAAGAAAAGACTCGAGATGTAGATAATAATATTTTTTGTTATGAAGAAACTAAATTATCATTAGACTACAAGACTGTAAAAAGACTCATCGAAAATCATAATGCTATACGAGGTTTGTCCGGAAAGTACGTATAAAAGTTTTTTAAAAATTTTATTTTACAATTATTCAGGTAAATCAATTTTATCCCCTTCAAAGTACTCCCCCTGTGACATAATGCACTTGTGCCAACGCCGTTTCCACTGTGAGAAGGCTCCTTGAAAGTCCTCTGGTTGTAGGTTTCTCAGCTGCCCCGTCGTATATCTCATTTATGTCCCCCAAATGCCGCCCCCGAAGTACCAATTTGGTTTTTGGGAACAAGAAGAAGTCACACGGGGCCAAATCCGGCGAATAGGGGGGTGTTCGGTCAAATGGAATATTCACGGACAACAAGAGAGGTAGGGGCATTGTCGTGGTGAAAATCCAACGCCCCTCTCGCGCCAATCTGGACGAACTCGTGCCATACATGAGCACATCGACGTAGAATTTTCCATCAACTGTCTGGCCTGGAGGGACGAATTCTTGATGGACAATCCCCCGAACATCGAAAAAAACAATCAACATTGTCTCGGCCCTCTCTGAATCTTTTTAGCCACTTGTGGACGGTTGGTTCCTTCACAACATCATCCCCATAAACTGTTCTGAGATCGGCAAAAATTTCACGGCCATTCTTGCCGAGTTTCGAGAAACTTGATTACGACGCGCTGCTCTTCAACGGAAGCGGGCTCCATGCCGACGGGGTTTCGTTAATGAAGCATTGTTAGGGACATAAGGAAGGGGTCCTGCGCTTACCTGGCCTCCCCACTCCTCTTTCTCGCATTCCAGAACACTTTTATACGAACTTTCCGGACAGACCTCGTACATCGAACGTGATGTCTTTAAGTATTTAATAGTGAAAGAATCACTATACATATATGAATGAGTATAAATCAAAATTATTAGATATGACGAAAAATCAGGAAAAACAATACTTTTTGATAAATAGAGATAAGCATACCTAGTACAGATACAGTAATAGAACGAAGATAATGAAAAACGAATTGGCAATGTCTGAAATTTTGTATCGACAAAAGAACATTTCTTAAGTCAAACATACAGATGAATCAGTACCAATGATATGAATGATACTAAAATAGTTATCTAGACAAAGAAGAATTTTCGTGTTTTAGATAGCGAAAACGTGAACGATAAGCCATTTTTCTCGCTCATCAATTCAATTAGACGCTCAAATTGTATGTATGTAAATCTTATCGATAGAGCTAGTATAACTCCGATACAAGAAACAAATAGTTTTGACAAACATCAATCAAGACAGTAACTTCTGTTGATGATGATATATTAATCTTGTAAAGACAACATATATTATGAAATTAAAAAACTATAATTTTTTAAGCTGGAAGATACTAGTACAAAACAAATAAAATAAAATCTACCCCTAATGCACAGAAATAGATTTAATTTGTGATCAAACATCGTCACAATAAGAATAATTAAAGTATTCTTAAATTAATAAAGAATTTATATCATTAAAAGTAAGGCAGAAATATAAAAAAAAAGTTGTTTAATAAATTATGACTTACTTAATTAAAATTTCATTACAGCTATTTAAACTAATAATGAAACTAAAACTGTTTAAAGTTATTAATATTCATATCCAGAAATACAATGGTTATTTTCATCGTTCATGAATTAAAACCATTATTTCTTCGACCATTGCACTGTTTTTAATCAGTTGATAATGATATGCAAAGTAAAACCACTACTTAGGTATATTTTAACAAAAGAATTGCCGATTTAATACAGTGCCTAAATAAATGATGTAATTGTGTTAAACACATCCAAATACGATAGGTATATTGATAATCGCGAAGGCAGTAAACGTATTGAAAAATCTTATGGCATAGACGATTATACGGATGCTTGTTCTACTTTCGGAATGGTCGGCGGTGTGGAATGCGGTCACCTGCGCCTACTAAGTGTTAGCTGCATCTGTTTGTTATTTATGTTGTCTTAGTATATTATTGAATAAACAACGACAAATATTGATAATAATGTATGGAAACAATATAAAAATTTATACAATATCTCTACTGAACATTCGAAGATGAAAATTATTAGCATAACAATATATCAATGTTCAATTGATATCACAGATGATTATGGAGATTGGTGCAAACATGATTAGGGTACTGAGGTGGTACAGTTTTATAACTCGCCTAATTCTGAATTGAATACTTGTAATAAAACCAATGCAATCACTACAATAAGTACTGTTGAGAGCGACAAAGATATCAATTACGTTGATGGCATCGTTTATGTGTATAAGTGATGATATATCATCCCCATAGGTCTACCTATAACTTACAGTGATTCTTAAACTTCCATATCAGTTGGGCCCTATGATTAAAATAAAATATGAGATATGACGACGTCGATTTTGGACGATCTAATATCTAGTAATTCCAAATAATGAAACAAAGGGTAGGAAACACAAAACAATATATGTTATCCGTTAAATCAAAATTATTAATATCTGTTCAAAAACGTAAAAATTTTTTTCACAGGATAGAATTCCCTGTTTTATATTATGAAACTACCTAATAACGGATGTAGGCACCGACATTTTGGTATATAAGAAAAAGTGTTGCGTGCACCTAATCTATTAGCTAATTAGAACACTATTTCCACTGACGATTATAATGAGGTCAAACGACTTTTTTATTTTTACAATTCAGCAAAAACTTAGTTGTTGTGAAAACATTGAAACCTTGATGAGACCGAAATAGAAATAGAAAAATAAACAAACATAAATCATACTAGCAAAAGTTCTTAATTAAATGAATAATTTAATATTATAGATAATGAATTATCTAGAGAAAATTCCCTCCTTAACTAGATCAAGGCCGAGAACGACCGCATCTAATCTGCGTTGACTTCAACAATGTAAAATCTCAAACACT